CCAGCCGTGGCAATGGGTCTTTCGGTATCATGACCCGGCGCCTGATGGTTGCTTCTGGCCTGTGCACAACTCCACCTCCAAGTAGGGTGAGCAGACGGCTGACCGCTTCCGATAAATTCCTCACGTACGGAAGAGCTCACCAAACGTTTGGGTCAGTCGGATGTGACTTCTTCTTTTGTTTGCCTATGCATTGGTTGACGCGTTGGCGCAACGATTTGGCGTTCCCATATTGCGTACTGAAATATTGCCTGAGCAAAAGAATCAGTCACACGGGAAAGGCCGGACCCAGCAACAACTCGGACGACAACGAGCATAATTTTCGCGCAATTACCAAGCTCGCACCCAACACGGACGAGGCAATCAATGCAGTCGATTGCCACCCATGGGTTTCCAAGCGACTACTACAGGAGACTGCCTATTTTACTGATCATGACAGAAGTTAGATAACGGGAGCTAGTTGAGGAAATGCTGTCCGACACTTCCTTACACAAGGCTTATTCCTGAAGACGGATTATAGGAAGTCACTTCAGTGGGTTTTTGCGGGCATCGTAATGGGACATAAAGTCGATGAGAAGCTAACTGAATTTCACTTAGCTTAAGGGTATGGTGAGTAGTAAGTCAGAAATAACCAAACTAGAATCCTTTACGTGTTATAACACTCTTCCTTTTACATAATTACTTCTCGCTATACAAATGCTTGTGGGGGCTGTAAAGTAAGTTGGCAACTGTATCCTATGAAGGCTGCAGCACTTGTGCAGACATTACCCTTACCTGATGATGGAGGTAAGTGTGCATCCGAAAAGTTGCAGCGACCATGTCTCCTGCCTTCCAAATACTGTATAGTACTCGCAGTTCCGCTTGTATTGCCAAATTAGAGTATATGAAACAAAACTTGGGCTGGTCGAGTTATGCGGTTTTCATGTCCGACTTTCACCTGATGATGCCAATTAGGGTGAGCAACTGGTCGGGATCCGACAGTATACCACAACAAAGGTGGTGGCGAAACTGCAATGTGGCCACACGTACATAAAACCCACCTTTCTCATAATTAAACATTAATTCAGTGCTACCGCGAAAGCTAGTGCCAGATGAACATCGACGACTAAGCTCCTAGTAACAAATCGCCATGTACGGCCAAAACTCGTGAAAATAAATAAGGATTGACAAAATAGAATAAATGATTTTGAGAGCCACCGACGCCGCGAGTTCTTTCACAATTGGGTCAACTAAATTAAGCAAATCTGCCAAACCACCTAAATAATTAAGTCAACCTAATAGTCATTCTGATGGATTCTAGATTGATTGCTTAGGAAATCCTGCTTGGGCAGTCAGCTTGCTGTTCCGTATTGGTCATGTGCAGTTAAGTTGGGCGGGTAATATGAACCCAAGTGTGATCAAATTCACAGCGCAAGGCGTGGCATCGTAGCTCAGCTCGGTAGGGCGTTAGCTTCGCGTAAAGGCCTTCCCTGCTGTGCGGGTTCGATTCCCGCCGACACCGCGAGTTTTTTCCACAATTGGGCCAATTAGATTTTCAGAGCAGAAAATAAAGACCGTAGTAAACATGATTTTCGCTGACAGGGAAGGGACCATGTCACAACTACGATAAAGAACACCGACGGCATCCAGCTAGTCAGTATTACTAAATTCTATTAGAACAAAAAAGCCCTGATCGATCAGACATTATACTACTTGTACTTGTTACGGCTGTGAGCATGCCTGATCTAGTCGACCTCGACGATGTCACGGACGGTACCTCTCCATGCGTGATGATTGGCGGCAGCGGATCTGGAGAGGTCAGACGTTATATAAAAAGGTGAATGAGGAACCAGCAACATTTCCAATCCCCTTTAGCGCAATCTGAGTAAAAATAGGAAATCCCAGCCAAGCGGAAAATAAGAAGCAACACAAAATAAGGAATAGATTCCGAGGCTTCGGAAGATGGAACCATACCTTGCTCATTGTCAATAGGGTATCGCCACAGCTTCCCGTCAAGGGTCCACTGCATCAACTCCTCAAATTTATTTGCAATGTTCTTGGACCGGTAGGTGGACAGTTCTAAAGCCTCGACTTCATCAAAGACTGCATTGTGGTTTACGACTTCACCTGCCTCCTTTGGTGGGGGTTCTAAAAAGTTAGAAAGTTTGTGAGTCACGGCCACGAAAGGTATGGCAAAAATGCCTTGGTAAAGTACAGAATGAGGAGAATGTACCTTTGCTTTGGCCTATCCATCACAAAACACGGCACGACAGCAATAAACGAAGAGGCGCACATTTACGCGCACCGAAGACCCCGAAAGTTGTATGTGTTTATACGGGAAAAAAA